GGGGTGTGCGGGACGATGTTGAAAGTGAAAGGTAGGTTGAGAAAGAGTCATTGTTGCGGATACTAGCTGGCGGTCAACAAACAAGCTATTTCTCGGCGTACGAAGACCCAGACAGCGATCGGCAAATAAGGGTTGCAAAGGAGGGAACATGTGCGGAGACATATGATCTGTCAAAGCAACGCGATTCGACTTACGGGGCATATATTTGGTTCTTGGCTTGTCGCGGTGTGCTTGATGAGATTGAGACTCGTTGAATTAAGACAGCCCGCAAAGATGACGTTTTGCAGTATAGCGGGCGTAGTCCAGCGCGTAGAAAAAATGTATGCATTTTTTTTTTGTGCGGTCGGTGTTGATTTCAAGGATACAAGAAGGAAAGTGTCAAAACACAACAATCTGACACTGCAGTAACAATTGAGCCTCAATAATGGGTGAACGGGATGAAACCATGGAATGCGAGCAGATTCTCGAGGTTAGCTGCCCAGCCTCAGCAATGATGTAATAATGCTTCCAGCATACCGTATCTCCCGCAGCGACCCTTGGTCCAGTGGCTCCAGGACCCTTCGATAGGCGGGGGTTGCAGAACCCACTGGGGACAGTTCACAGTGAGATAAGCCAGTAATAGGACGCACGGGACACCGTTTAAACGCCATAAGTCGGTCACGCGTGCAGCATCTACAATAAACGAAACTTGGTTTAACCTGGAATCGATCGTGTTTAATGACTCTGCCGCCGCTCCCGCTGGTGACTATCGCTATTGTTATTGTCACCAGGCCCCGAATCCTACCATATTGGATGCGTGGGAGTGGAGTTGGGCCCCGGTGATCCAACGTTAACCTTACTCGTGTTAGAATGGCAGGCTGAACGAGCAGTTGAAAATTAACCTTTCATGCTTGGCTTTGCTTGGGTCTGTCCAGTGCCCTTACCTATCAAGGAATATGGACGGACCCTTGTTAATCTATCTCAAGTATCGTATCTGCCTACCTACTAGTGATACACATATATCTAGATGATCGTGTCCTCCCGTTGTTGTCGTACCATCTCCCTCTCTCCGTGTGTATACCAAGACTCGAGCGGCCTCTCCCCTTCGATTTCCTTGTTTTCTAGCTATCATATTGGCAGGATTCTTATTGTCTTTGTTCCTGAAGGATTTGACGACAGCCAGCATACACAAGCGATCTTCTCACGACACTCCACAATTTATTGGACCTTTATGCCTTCCATTACTTCGCTACACTAACGACCTGCCTCCCAACCTTTCCATATCATTCCTATCATAAATCCTTCATCTCCATCTTCATCTGCATATGCCCTGAAACTACCTAGAAATCCTTCATCCTTCATCCTACTTCTTCCAGTCTTCATTCAGCTTGGTAGACCTATAGACGAAATACGTTCAACTCCTGAAATCGACCACACCAAGTTTCTATTTATCAAGGTCGTCTCACTCGGTCCACAGGCATTGCGCCTAGCCCGCTCTTTGCCCCAGAGAAAATTTACAATATCAGAAAATTCTTTGTGTCTTAAAATTATTGTCTTGTAAAGACTGTCATCATGTCAGAAAACACCAATGTGCCCAGATGGCGGCGCTTTCTGGGCGTCAGCCCTGGCGCCGGCTCTACCGACGCCCCCCCTCAGAACGATGCTTACGGGCCGTCAAAATGGAGCATGGGAGTTTTGAACGATAAAAAGACCATTGAGGTTCCAGGTAAGTACAAAAATATCTTGATCTGGTGAACATGACAATGCTAACGCGCCGCAGGCTCTGTTCTTCTTCTTGCATCCCATCGCAATGAACCGCTTGGTCTGCGAAACGTTCATGCGAGAAACTCCCATTCTTCTATTCCCACTGGCTTTGTTGTCGATGAGCGGAGAGCATCAGCCTCGTCAGCAGCCGCGGCGGCGGCAGCAGCATCAGTTGCGGCGGAAAGCCATCGGCCAGCAAGTTCAAGTCGCCCGGCCAGTGCAAATGAAGGCAAGAAGAAGACAAGTGACGGTGCGATCATCCTGGAACCTCAACCCGAGGAATCAGGAAATGACCCCTTGAATTGGCCATCCTGGAAACGAGATGCTGCTCTTTTGTCACTTGGCTTTTACTGCATGATTGGTGGTGGCACCACTCCCTTGATTGCCGCTGGCTTCACGGATGTCGCTGAAGAGTACAACGTCGACGTCGAGAGAGTGGCTCTAACTACTGGACTTTACATGATGGGCATGGGCCTTGGTTCAGTTGTGTTCTCGCCAACTGCCATTCTTTATGGTAAGCGCCCAGTATACTTGGCCAGCTCCGTCATGTTCATTGGCACATCGCTCTGGTCTGCATGGTCTCCAAGCTTCAACTCTCTACTGGCCGCCAGAGTCTTTCAAGGCTTCGCCGTCGCACCAGTCGAATGTCTCCCGTCAGCTACAATCGCCGAGATCTTTTTCCTTCACGAGCGAGCATACCGTATTGGCATCTATACCCTCCTTTTGCTTGGTGGCAAGAACTTGGTCCCTCTTGTTAGCGCAGTCATTATTGGCAGTCTCGGATGGCGCTGGACCTTCTGGATCTTAGCTATGATCATTGGTTTGGGCGCTGTACTCCTCTTCTTATTCGTCCCCGAGACATTTTGGGATCGAACACCTCACGCAAGACCCAAGCATCCTTCAAAGAGGCCGAGCTTCCTCCGCCGACTCTCATCTCGTCATCACCAGGTTCAACAACCCACAGAAGAAAAGGTATTGGAGCCCGAGCATGGAGAACATTCAGTTGATGTGCCTCCTGCCCAAGATGGACGACAGTCGCCTGCTCCCTCCCATCACTCCCACCACCACCGGGCTAGAAACCTCCATGTGGGCTTCGCCGGGCCTGACGCTACTGACAAAGAGACCGCAGCTCCCGAAGTCGACGCTGGCTCGCCCAAGGCATTGGCGGATTTTTCGGATAAAGACTCGACTTTACCTTCTGGTGCTGATACCGGAAGTGGAAGCGGTTCCGTCAACAACTCATTCAAGTTGGGCCCAACCCTCGAGAACGAAAAGTTGAACGCTTCGGACGTTGAGGGCCTACCGAAAGTCCAGGCATACACGCATAACCTCCGCCAACAACCCCCGAAGTCGTTCACTCAAACTCTGAAGCCTTGGCATGGAAGACTCAATGGTGACAATTGGTTCAAGGTTATGATCCGCCCATTCGTACTCTTTGCCTATCCTGCCGTTTTGTGGTCATCTGCCGTGTATGCTTGCTCTGTCGGCTGGCTGATTGTCATCTCCGAGTCGATTGCCATGATTTACCGCGACCGAGAGTCTTATAACTTCACTGCTCTCCAGACTGGTCTGGTGTATATCTCGCCGTTCATCGGCGGCATCCTAGGAACCGGTGTTGCAGGCAAGGTCAGCGATATCATTGTCAAGATGATGTCTCGTCGTAATGGCGGACTTTACGAGCCCGAGTTCCGTCTTGTCATGGCCATCCCTATCCTAATTACTACCTGTATTGGTCTTATGGGATTTGGGTGGTCGGCCGAGGAGAAAGACCATTGGATGGTCCCTACCTTCTTCTTTGGTGTTGTTTCGTTTGGATGTTCGCTTGGCTCGACAACAGCCATCACGTTCTGCGTCGACAGTTACCGTCAATACGCAGGAGAGGCTTTGGTGACTCTCAACTTCTCCAAGAATATCCTACACGGTCTTGTCTTCAGTCTCTTTGTTACCCATTGGCTCCACGGAGATGGTCCTAAGATGGTCTATATCTGGATTGGTATAATCCAGCTGGCCTTGATGCTTTGCACGATTCCCATGTACATTTATGGCAAGAGGGCTCGCATGTGGACGGTCCGGGCCAACTTGATGGAGAAGTTCTGATTGTAGCACGTTTTTATTGTCTTGTTTCGACGCATCATATGCATTCTGATAAAGGTGTTTTGCACTCGCACTCATTGGCACGACAAACAGGAGTTTGGGTTTCTGTATTACTTGCATCCCACGGGGTAGCACGCAAGTGCTACAGTACGGCATGACTTGCATATTAGCATTTGGTAGAATGATAGCGCTCAGAATAACACTGAAATGTTCGCCCCTACATATTTATCCACAAGAGAGTACAACCTGTGAACACATGCCACGAACATTATTTGGCACAACAAACTACCACCGCCAAACTTTTGAAACATATCTAGAGGTATCCTTGTTCATCTAATTCGTTCATCGGGAATTTATTTAAACTATGTCTTAGCTTACCCGTTCTATGGTAATGTGCTAACGCTGGAAGCCTGTGATATATCCGATCGATCCGAGATATCGTCACACGCCCTCACAGATGACACACGACGCTTGTCGCGTGTTGTCAGGCGACATCGTAAACGTAATATGGTTATACCGATGTATACTCTAACACGTGTAAAGTGCACCTCCATGGTTTGGATCCGGCAAATAAACAACATTATACGTGTTCCATCGTAGTTCTGATGTCTTTGTTTCAAGGTTGGATTGAGAGTGCATGTATCTCTATTCATCGGGGTTCCAAATACTACTTCCCTCCGGGATGAAGCCGAGTCGCTCGGTTCAAGGAGCACTTTTTAGCAGATGCGTATTGCCCAAGTTGTATCAACATGTCCAATGCTACATGACTAGGCCGCAGGAAGGCCAATTGGCTCCAGATACCCAAGACTTTGATTTTCGTCTCTATAAAAAGACAGAAGATCTTATGGAAAAACAGAGAAAGCTTGTCAATCAACAATTCTTGGTGAGTCTTTTATCATAATGTGAAATTGCTCTGTTGTAATGGTATATATGCGCCATATGCAAGACCTACCCATGCCATTCAAAGATACAAGACTCAACGCCCCTTTCTTTTCTCTTTTATATACATGCCAGGATTTGTTCTTCTTTCCCTGTGCTTACAAAACACGGCTCACATCCTGGCTGCCTCATAGTTCATATAACTCCTATATACGCTTGTGTCACGACCGCTGCGTATAGGTCATCCGTAGTTTATCGTTAGAAGTCGAAGAGATAATGCTGGCTTACATGAGGACACAGTCGCCCTCCTGCTTCTGATCCATCTTGCTTCGAGAGATACGCTCACGCTGGCGTGCGCCATTCTTGCCTGCGCCCCGTTTCAAATCCTCTAGTCGCTCGCGAGCTTTAGGGAAGTCTTGGGCTACAAATAATTGTTAGTTATATATCTTTTTTTGTCAATGTGATTGCACTCACCGGCTGCTCGCCAATACCAACGCTTTGCGTCCTCAAGATTCGGCGCGGCACCAATGCCTACCTCTGTGAAGTATCCCATAGCATACTCCGCCTTGGCCAGACCTGCAATGGCAGCTTTTCGGGCCCATAGGTATGCTTCTGTGTCACTCTGTCCCATCACACCTTCACTACCTGTTAAGTACCAGCCGCTTAGAGCGAGCTCTGCTTGGTGCTCCTCCTGTGTTGCCGCTTTCGAATACCACTGAATGGACTGTCGAGGATCAATTGGGCAACCCAACAATCCATACTCAAAGGCACAGCCAAGTCGGTACTGCGAAAATTTGTACCCCAAATTGGCAGATTGAAGGAACAAGTTATAGGCGTATGCCTCGTCTCGAATGATAACATCATTTGGCTGCGCTGACTCGTACAGCAACCCTAACTCATGTAGAGCATGGGGGTTATCCTTGTCGGCTCGTTCTGCTGCTCGTTTCAACCAGCCCACGGCTTCTCTCGGGTTTCTAGGTTGGCCAAGAAGCCCCTTTAACAATATCATTCCGACCTTGTACATCGCTGGAGGATCACCCAGAGTTGCAGCTCGCTTATACCATTGAATCGCCTTCATTGGATCCTTCCGCGTACCACCACCATCTTCGTGACCGATTTCACAACATACTGCAGTTCGGTAAGCTGCTGCAGCATGTCCAAGTTTGGCGGCAGACTGGTACTGGGTGAAAGCCTCCTTGTAATCAGCCTCACCGAAGAGACCTCTTCCAAGGCAATCGGCTAGCAAAAACATAGCATCTGGGTTCTGAGCGTTTGCAAGCTTCTTGAGAATTTTGTGACAATCGATCAGGTAACGTTCACGGGCCCTAGAACGTTGCTTAGGGTCTGGCATCTTGGGTGCCAGCACATCGGCAGCTTCAACCAGCTTCTTGGCTAGCCTCAAGGCCGAGTCCTGGTCGTTCGCGTTGCTTTTAATAAGCATTCGGAGATGCTCCAGTTCTTGAGTTGTGACGGGACCTTCTTCTCTAATGGGTGGCTGCGAACCATTGTTACGAGGCGGCGATTGTTGCTGCTGCTGCTGATACTGGGGCTGTCGCTGTGTCTGGAGCTGGGGCTGTGGTCGAGGTGCTGGTGTAGAAGCCCCATAGTTCCGGACTGGTGCTGGCTTGCTACCCATATGAACCATAGTGTCTTGCATCAAGCCCGGGCGGATGGGCGTAGGATGTGTAGGGAGGCCATCCATGGTCACTGGTTCTCTAGTATGAGCATCGTTCATCGCTACCGGTGCGCTCGGTCCCCTGGGTGGGAGCTGGCTGTAATCTTGATCATAACCTGCCTGGTACTTGCTCATAGGTGGCATAGGAGGGACTGCAGGGACGTCTGGTACATCCCCAGCCATTTCAAAGATGGCTGTTTGAGGTTGACGGAGCATTGGCTGAGATTTTGCATGGTTAAGTACTGCGGTTTGATGGGCTACACGCTGAGGCTGTTCATTGGTAGGACGCATTGACTGTTCGAAAGAATCGCGTTGCCCTGGGCCAGATGCCGCATCGAAGTCAGGAAGGCTGGTTCGATTCTGCTGAGGGTTCTGCCCGTAATCTGGGTTGCTATTCCGTTGGGGATCGAGGTAGGCGTCGTATACTTCTTCGTATGAAGCCCTCGGTGGGGTTTGGTATGCGCTTTCGTCGTTATAGCCACCGCTATATGGAGCAGCCTGGCCTCCCTGAGGGCCGGGCGTATATAGTCGCTGAGGGGGCACCCTGTGACCGCCAGCAGTCGAAGGCCGTTGAGGTATCCCTCGACCGGCAGGGGTGCTGTATTGCATTGACTCCATCTGTTGAGGGGGTGGCATGTTCGACGTCTGTCTCATGTCGTCCACTGGCATGGTTCGGCTTCGCGCTGGGGGTCCAAACCCACCCACGGGAGGTTCTTGCGAACCATGATACCCATTATCATAATCACTATAACCACCTTGAGGCCCATAACCTGTATTTTGTCTTGGGGGAGGCCCTTGAGGATATCCTCTGGGAGGAGGCCCACGACCCCCATTTCCTGGATGTCGTCCGTACTCGCCTTGGCTGTAATGGGTGTCTGAACTTGCGCGTCCAGTTGTTGGCATCATTTGCCTCTGATTCATGTCCATTTTCGACATTTGATCGACCATTTGTTGTTCATAGCCCATGTCCGGTCTTTGTCTGTTTTGCGGCGGATACTGTTGCCCAAATTGGCCGTCTCGAGGACTCATGGGAGGAGTATTCATCTGTTTTCGGCGGGCTTTTTTCTCTTTGATGAGTTAAGTAGCAAGTTGTGATGTGAAGGGGACTCACCTGTAGGATCTGAATTCGTAGCATGCGGTCCTGGACGCATACCATTCTGCGTAGGATGTCTATTTGACATGCCCAGACCTGGACCTCCTCGAGGAGGAGGAAGGCGCTGTGGGCCACGATGAGGATCAGCCGTTTGTGAACGAGGAATTGGCCCTCCGTGAGGACCAGGCATCGGGCGTCCGCTACGTCCATACAGGTCGTGGGGAGGTGGCCCTCTGCCGTAGTTCTGGTCTTGATATTGCCCTCCATATCCCTGATTAGAACCTCCGTCATATTCATCATAGCCATGGCCTCTTTGATGCCGATCGTAGTGTGGTTGTGTTCCGTATTGCTGCGGCGGCGCACCACCATGTTGTCGCGGGGCAGGTCTGGGCGGCCCTTGTTGCTGTTGGCCACCGTAACCACCTTCGTACAGAGATGCCATGGTCACGGTTCGATGGCTAAAGAATAGAAGAGCTTCAGTTTCGCCTCGTCGGTTATGTTTATCGGCTATGAAGAAGACAATATGAGTTCATAGGTCGGTTGGCGCAAAATCGGGTTCAATCACTGTCGCATGGCGTGCCGCAGCTACGGCAACTGGGTTCCCAGTAGGCGTGTGATCGGCAGTCCGGATCGCGGAACTAGTGTAAGAGAGTCGATTGTGATCTCACCACAAGAGGTGGTGAAAAGAATACAAAAAGACAGTAATACTCTTGAGTCTGTCGACAGCTATTAAGAAAATGCGAGGAAAGCACCAATTGTTCGCTGATCAGAAACCAAAGAGGGTGATAGTGATAAGTGAATGCTTTGAGGAATAAGGATAGCCTCAGCCAGAATCAATATGTCTGATGGACAGGTAGAAATGCCTTTCGAGCGATGCAAATTAAAAGAGGATGGGGAATCCCTTTATGTTTGGTCATCCGAAACGGCAAAGCTCATGGATAAGAGGTCAGGTTGCCTCCAACCTCCAACGTGACCTGCCCCCGGGTTTGTTGCCATATTAGCTGCAGCCCAGTAGAACCCGTCCAACTTCTTCAATAGGACCTAGAGCATGTGGAGTGAGGGCGCTAAATCTACAGTGGCTTTTCGGGTCGTTTATGCCCGTTTTCCAGGTTACCTTGAGTGGATACTGTCCTGCATGCGGGTGGTACCTTACTTGACGTTTAACCCCTGTTAGCCAGGTCGGAAGAAGTTTTGAGACTGCGCGATGAAAGGCTCCAGGGGCATCGCATCATTTATTAATACTCACCCCCGGGGCCTTACTTATTTTATGTGTCAGGTGTACTGAGGTAGCGTTAGGCCTGTCGCAAGATAATTAAGCGACCCGGCATCAAGGACATGCCGATGAGAGAACGCATGGGTAAAGCGTATCCATATACCTAGGTAAGTACATACTGTATAGGTAGTACTTCGGTTTTCCACAATTATGAACGGATTAAACGGGCTGTGAAGGTTTTCCCATTCCAACAGGACGAGAGATTGGGCGCTTCGCCGTTGCCGGCGCATACATAACTATTTGTGGCTTGAACCAGCCCCTGGCTGTTCAACGGCGACGTTGACCGGTTCTACCACGCCCTCTTACTATTGCCGCGCTGTATAGTAGGATTCGACGTGTCAATGCCTGGTTGAGACAAAGCTTTGTTGTGTATCACAATGCTGGTCATTATAACTCAGTGACCTAATGGTGTTATGGAAACTAGTAATACCATCGACTCCATGCGAACAAGAATTGCTGAAGACTGGTCAAAGTCGAAACAAATCAATAAAACGAATGATCCTTTGAAAGCCGTGTCTATTTTCTTGACAGACCCCTGGTAGCCCTAAGCACGGTTCCTCGCATATCATCATCTGTGGATCTGACCAAGACACATGGTTTCCTGTCAACGAACGATTCATAGGTAGTGTTTCCGGAGAGTTAGAGGAGCCCTGTGGCGGCTAATCGGCGCTAGATACCTGCTGTAGGCTGCTAGAAGACTTCCCCCTCCCAGTACTTGTGCGTAGTCTTATAGACAGAACCTGGTATCATGTTCGCGCTTGGCACTCTGGGTGTATTGACGTCAGGAGAGATCTTCTGGTGCACTCTTGGCTGAAGTTGCGAACTCACAAGCTTGATCCTATGGTAAAGGTTGGGCAAGTGCCTGGGAGGGTGTGTATAACCGACAAAGCCGGAGACTTGTCCACCCGATCTAGTTTCCTGCGACACGATTTGTCAAGTGAGCATCCAAGCTGAAATTGTCTACTAGCCAGTAAGAAGCTCCGGAACGTCTTATTCGGGAAGAGGGCTCTTCGCCACCTCCCAGCGACTCGTTCGGTACGAGAATGTAAATTCGAGCTACGGAAAGCTGAGATAATGGTATGAGCCTCGTAAAGGGCTTGTCCAATCGATGCTGCTATTCGTACCCCCAAAGCTGAGCCTCCAGAGATTGTTAATGGAGGAATGAAGAACCTGCATAAAACAGTCGACGACTCTATAGGTTCGTTTGCACATTGGCAGCCATTCCCATATTTCATAGAGAATACATCACTATGCAAAGGACTGCGGCCAAAATATCCATTGATATCGCAACCTGAAATAAGTACTCTTCAATTACAGCATAGTTAGCTTGGTATGTCAGTCGGGCCCGGGTGAAGATTGGTTCCGTGACCGCTTTCCCAATCAAACCGCCCACCAATGAAGGAATACTGCCAAATCAATGACGGATGCAGAATCGTGAAAATCATCATTGGAACAACCAGCGCCCAGTCCAATCCGACCGTATTCACGGACTACTCTGTGCGAATTGAGTCTTTGCGAAATTTACTGCATCTTACCATTGCAATGGCAGCTAAGCAGCCGTCTTCAAGGTGGTGGTTTTGGACCAAGGTCGTTATGGGGTACGGATTCTATGATCATAGCATACCCGCGAAACCACAGGCTAATACATTGATGCAGTGGTGCTGTCGTCGCTGTTGGCGGCCCAGCCTTCACCATGTGGTTGACACCTACCGAGGAAGAACTTCGATCAAGATATAACCCCGAACTACGCAAGAAGAGTCTAGAGAACCGCGAAGAGCGACAACAAGATTTCGATGACTTTGTGACCCGATTGAAGGAGTATTCAAAGTCTGACAAGCCTAGTACGTTTGTCTTGTTACTTCGACCTCAACCACTAATCAGTTGGCAGTCTGGATCGTTGTGAAGGAGGAAGAGGAGCGAAAGCGAAAGAACGCCGCCGCTGCTGCAAAGGCGTCGAAAGTCGAGACCGAGACCCGACGAGAAGAGATGAGAAGAGAGGCTGGCCTAGATGCGAAATAGGTTCGTCAATGGCCGTGTATATTAAACACTATCTTTACTTGTAAGACTATGAAGAATGATCAAGGGACGACTCATGTACAACAGCTGGGTAACCTGGGAAGCCAGTTGGAGGGTTAAGAAATCACTTGGAGTTGGTATATTACCTGGTAATTCGTTGAAACAAAAATGCTTTCATTCTTTGTCTTCGATTCAATCCTAATAATGTTTTCTATCAAATCAGATATGAATGCAGATTCTGTTACAACGATACCCATTGCAGTGTGAATAAAAAAGTCGAATCTTGGGAAAGCATTTGTACCTTTTATTAATACCAATTATACTCAAAAATTGTTCTAGCATGATTTCACTGCTTTTATTCAGTTGTTCACTACTCAAGCAAATGAACTGAAGCTCTGAGTTACCCCACGAGCTGACTGAGCCTGTAACGTCACGTCCTACCTTTAGCTGGTGGTTTTAAGCAAAGCACCCCTACCGAGCCTAAGGGCGGAGCGCCCAGAGCCCCTCCTCATCCTCGGCGAAATGGTAGTTCCACAGGCGAAAACTCTTGGCACGCACAAAATCTACTTTGACTTATCACCACTGATTCGAAGCCGACGGCGACAAACAGCTAATTAACCAAGCCTAACTACTGGTACGTTACCCGACCCGCGCATGCACGAATTCACGATCAATTCCTCTCCGAATAATCGATTTATACCGTTCGAATTCGACCCCGACTGACGAGTTTTGTTCCAGTTTCGATCGAGTCCCCCGATCCCCCGCAATCGAATTTCGCCCATCATGTCCGACGTCCAAGAACGCCTCAAGAAGCTCGGCCTCGGTGCCCGAACTGGTACGTGATTTTTGCGCAATTTTGAAATTATCTCTGAGGTGGGAGCAAAAAGCTGATATATAATACAGGGTATGTTTGCGCATAACGAGGCTTATACGCCGTCACAGCCGAACATCGCAGCTAACGGAACGACTTAGTGGAAAGGGTACCCCCCGACGAAAGGTCAAGCGCGCACCTGCCCGCTCCGGTGCCGACGACAAGAAGCTTCAGCTCGCCCTTAAGAAGCTGAACACCCAGCCCATCCAGGCCATCGAGGAGGTCAACATGTTCAAGCAGGACGGAAACGTCATCCACTTTGCTGCCCCCAAGGGTTAGTCATCCCACTTTGTTGTTGTGCGCGGGGCTTTGGTGTATACTGACATGTGCCCTTCCATCCCGACAGTCCACGCCGCTGTCCCCTCCAACACCTTCGCCATCTACGGTAACGGTGAGGACAAGGAGCTCACTGAGCTTGTCCCCGGCATCCTTAACCAGCTCGGCCCCGACTCCCTTGCTTCTCTCCGCAAGCTCGCTGAGAGCTACCAGAACCTCCAGAAGGAGAAGGGTGAGGACGACGACGAGATCCCCGACCTTGTCGAGGGTGAGAACTTCGAGGGAGAGCCCAAGGTCGAGTAAATTTCCTCCAGAAAAACTCGAGGGCGATGGGGCAGTGAGATCGTAGGCATGTCCGGCCAAGAGGCTGGCTAGTTTCTCCTGCGAGGCGGGTTTTATGTTTTCCCCCTTATGGGTGGATAGTCGTAACAATCACTCCCCGGCTCTCTATTTCGAGTAGCTGAGGAGTAGGTACGGGTATGCAAAAGGTCACAGCTTGGGAACGGTCGCGGTGGAATGGCGATTTATGCTGGCTGAGGTTGATTGATCTGTACAAACAAACAAAAAATACGACTTACATCGGGAGAAATACCAATCTCTAATGATGTCAATGATTGCTACGCTTTTCTAGTTGGAAATCTGATCCCCCGTCATTCCTAATCCACCCTACAAGTGCCGTCTCGCGCGCCTCTTCCTTAACTCTTCTTCTATGAGCTGTTAGCTGGCCTTGCTTTACATCCCGATAAGTACAAGACTTGAGATATAGTGCTGTGGCAGAGCACCCGGCACCGAGTCTATCGGCAAGGTCCCCGGCTGCCTCCCACATGCGTTGTCTTGACATGCGACTTGCTGCATTTGTGTTGAAAGCTTTCCGACCTTGAATAACTCCCCCGATTATGTTCTCTTCAAACCCTGAAGATGACCACGTTGCTGCAAGATTGCTTGCCGATATCTTATCAGCCCGAGCTTTCACGGCTATTTTTGAGAATTCAAACTCCAGACCAGTTGTCAAGGTTGAGAATTGCTTGAAAGAATATCCTCCCAACCACATCTTACCAGCCAAAGGTTTCAATCTACCTTCTTCTGAAAAAGCCCGTCTACAAGCGACTTCAGAATGTTGGGATTCTGGCAATACGATACTGTGAATGTATGCGTTGGTTGTGTCAATAAAAAGTGATGATAGAGCTGAGAGGAGCGAAGTGCACTGTTTAAGTGCTAGTTTGTCGGAGCAGGACTTGGAGAGCGTTGGCGGTGCATCTCCTCGAGCAGGCTTTCGCCTAACAATACCAGTTCGAGAAAAGCAGGCTCGCCCTAACAGAGAGGTATCGGCATTTGGATCAGGAGTCCTGGTTGTGGGTGTTGGGGCCTCCCATGCTGAAGCATCTTCTTGGGCGGCCATTGTGAGCTCCATGCTGGCATCGCCACCTGTTTGAGTCAGGGATAAAATCGACGGCGATCTGGGAATGTCATACATGGCGCTTCTGAGCAGTACATATGCAGTCTTACATCGTCTTTAACCTGGAAAGACTGTGGACACATTCCATCGCTGTTGGGTATATTCTTTTTTCTCTGCAAAATGCTCAATTTGTTTTCATTTTCCAGGAGACTTTGACATTCGTCAAGCAGAAAGCGATTAAAAGTCCTGATGGCCAGGATCTCGGCATGCCAGTCATGGATGCCAACACCGTTCGACTGTGCTATTTTCGACACCGGAAGGCATTTCATGCCAGTTCTACGTAATCAAACTTAGAATCGAAGCAAGCCATGAGAGCCTGATATATCTTACGCCAGAGCAAGACAGGTCAAGACCCCGTTCTGTTCAGCAACGATGCCACTCAGAGGAACCCATTCATGTAAACCATTATCGCGAACGGCAGGTTTCCGTTTTGCAGGTAACTTGTGGAATTGCTGCAATACTGCTTGCGCAATCAAATCAGCCTGTGAAGACATCTAAGCATCCATGCCTAGATTATTCAAGACCCGGGTTGGTCCCTGAATGAATGGATTAGCAAACGAGTGGTTTGTGACAACCAATGGTGATATAAGTGAAGCTGAGCCTCTTCCCAGGATGTTGCACCGACGATTCTCCGGTTTCAGTGAATGAAGTGCTCTGAAGCCCGCTGTGGATGCGCAGCTGCACGTGATAGCATTCGCCAAATCAGATCTAGCGATTCGCCTGCCCTAGGTCGCTTAGTCATTTAGCACACAATCCGAGCGAAATTGACTGCCCGTAGACAATCGACCCCCCTCAACTTCCATTTGCAATCGCCAATCCACGGTCAACTACACAACACCTTGTCGCCTTTAACGCACAACCAGCGACAAGATGCGAACCTACGAGGACACCTTCTCCGGCGCGAGAATCTACCCTGGCAAGGTACGCTCCTTCTGCCATTTACCCCGTTGATGCGATCCGGTCGATTATCGAAATGCGAAGTTCCAAGTCGCTGGAGGTGGATGATGACGATGATGGATCGCATGGACAAGGCACACTTGGTGCTGAACAAGATGAGGACATCAAAGGCTAACGGATATCGCTTTACAGGGTAAGCTCTACGTCCGTGGCGACAGCAAGATCTTCCGATTCCAGAACGGCAAGTCGGAGTCTCTCTTCCTCCAAAGGAAGAACCCCCGCCGTATCGCATGGACCGTCCTCTACCGCCGACAGCACCGCAAGGGTATCTCTGAGGTATGCAACAATTAAAAGCCGGCAGCACTTAACACGAATCCCCTCACTGCTGCTGGCTCTCCCATCCTTTGCTATATGACAGAACTGACGCATTCTACAGGAGGTTGCCAAGAAGCGAACCCGCCGCACTGTCAAGGCTCAGCGTGGTATCGTTGGTGCTTCTCTCGACGTGATCAAGGAGAAGCGCAACATCCGACCCGAGGCCCGTTCCGCTGCCCGCGCCCAGGCCATCAAGGAGAGCAAGGAGAAGAAGCAGGCCGAGGCTGCTACCAAGAAGTCCGAGAAGGCTAAGCTCGCTGCCCAGGCCTCCAAGGGCCAGGCTGTCCGACAGGTCAGCAAGCAGGGTGCCAAGGGCTCTGCTCCCAAGGTCCAGGCCAAGACCCGTTAAATTAGGAATGGAACTTGAGCGAGGATGAAAATGGGAGAGTGGAGTCCGTGGTTCTTGTGTCTTTGTCCGGCCGGTTCTTCTACAATCTCGGGTGCATGGAATGCCAATAGGGTGCATTGATAGTTGAAATGCAAAATGGTCAAACAAACAAACAGACAACGCATCTGATTCTTGTCGTGACGAACAAGGGATGTGCAGTTATGCGGTGGCTGGGTAAATACCTCACGGCGTTATTCAGGAAACTAGCAACTTAGCTTGTTAGATAACGACACAATGCCTTACGATGCAAGACCAGACGTCACGGGAATCGCTTCAATTAGATTGTGTTCAATGGTATTCATGTAGTTTGTCTCTATTCTATTGTTGTCTCATACGCTCGTATATATTCTGTCTTGAGAATCTCTTGTGCGAGTAAACTGGATTACAAATGAGCAAGGACACCAAGGGCACCAGACTTCTCGATGCTGCCGGGCTCATCATTGGAGGCGTAGACGATCCTGCCATGGTCAACAATCACGGCGAAACGGCCAGTTCTCTCGCCCAAGTTCCAGCCGATGCTGGTGGAGAACTTGGCATTGTGGTCGGACATGAAGAGCTAGCCATGTTAGTATTGTATCTTGGTAATAGAGAGGTTCCGAAAGACTTACAATCTTGTCATCTGTAATTCCATTGGCCTTGGCCCAACCATGCATGACAAATGCGTCGTTGACAGCAATGACGATGACCTGGTCAACGCCCTTGGCCTTGATCTTGTCAATGTTCTCGACGTAGGAAGGAACGTGAGATCCACTGCAAGTAGGAGTGAAAGCACCGGGGACGGAGACAACGACAACCTTCTTATCCTTGAACTCTACAGAACAATGTCAGTATGGAACTCGAGTAAGATATAAGAGGACATCGCTTACCATGACTGGCGTTGTAGTTGGTGGGAGCGCCGCAGGTAGAGAATTCAGCGATCTCAGGAGTGGGCTTGATGTAGCTGAAGAAGACACCTTCGGGGAAGTTGGCGCCGACCTTGAGTTCAGACATTTTGAATGTGTTGGTGAGGGTTGTGGTTTTGGTGTTGGGTTTCTTTTGTGATGATGAAAGGGCCAAGGTTTGATGTGTATTAGGATGCGAGAAGAGAGATGGAGTCAACAGAGTTCATGGAAATATATAGAATATTGGGTTGGTAGCAGCTTCTCGTTCCAGGTAGTCGTCCGTGTCTGAACTATGCCGCTCTTTCCCCAAGGCACTCTAGAGCCAACGTGGGATTCTCCGCCTTTACCTGGCCCTCAGGGTATCAGAAAAATTGACCGTTGGAAGCATAAAAGACGAAATTAGTAGGTCACTTTATACTCCTTAGACTATAGTTCTTAGACTACTTATTTTTATACCCTAATACTTGGAAGGCCATTTTTTCTGCTACCCACTAGCTGGCCTCCATTCTCTCTACCTTTTCGGAGAGCCATCGGAGAATCAGATTCGGCACTGGCGCAATGAGGGTCACCCATGAGGTCAGTGAAGGGCCTGTGGGGATATTCCGAAGGCAGTCGGCGCGGCCTTGGTGGAACCGCCATCTGCCGCTCAAGGCGCACTGGTCAGGTATTTAGACGCGGGTCCTGTTTGGAATCATTTCTGACGCTGCATGCTCCGCAAAAGATTCACGTTGGCATGTCTTCTCTAACGAATATCAAACCTGTCACGATGCTGTTAGATGAGGCTCGGCTTCAGCTTCGGTATGCGAGTTGCACTCGGCAGAGTATTTGTCATCCGGCGCGTGATCTAATAGGTAGGTAGGCAGATTATCAATGCCAGAAGTATCGCCGACAGGCTCCAAAATGGAGAGCAGGTGGTTGGAATAAGACATGTTGCTTGATTCCAAATGATCAAGTCATAGTAGGTAAATCATGCTGTGTATCGATACAGCTAATCCACGTGGTTGGTTCCTCTGCTTCGAGACCAGTAACAACGACTCATGTTTAAGTCTGGATCATTTAAGTTCATTGCGAGTCGGAGGCTCGGGCCTTGCAATATGGAGGTGATAGTGACATCGGCTGGTTATGTACGTACAGTAAGTATAATTTTAGCGAACGTTCTGTATCGTCTCCGACTGGATTGACTTTGCTGAAAGTTTTGAGTCCATAAGGTAGCTTTCGACGATGTCGCGATTTTCTAATTACCCTAGAGCACATATACTTATTTTCTATTTGTATATATTGTTAACAGGGCGGTAGTGCAAGCCTTTCGTATAAGTAAATTTAGGTTGAATTCGTAGGGTGTTCGTTAGTAGATGTGTTTTGTTTCAAAGTATGATGGTTTTTTCGGCATGCAGCTTCGGGATTTCGTTATATTTTGACCAAAACGGATGTCTTTTTATTAACGTGCATGGCAACTGTTAACACTAATCTCGGCGTCTCGTTCATTTGCTATATAGCAACACCATAATCGCAGAAACAATATTTAATCACCCCATGTCTGGGATGATTTGTGACTTGTTTCTCACTATATTGTCCATGAAAATTTCCTAAGCATTTCTTTCGATGCGAGGAGTGAATGTCTTCACTTGATGTTGTTTGTGACAATGCCACTCGCCTACCAATCATAAGTGATGATGATTCACATATTTGCCTATTTTGAACAATAAAGATTGCTGTGGGATACACGGACCGAACCGTCCCGGAGCGGGGGAAGACCTTTCGTGCGTGAGTTGACAACACCAACTAACGTTTATTTATTCAACTAAACACAAGATAAAATGCCAGAAACAAGTTCTGAACAACCAGTTGCCGGCTCAGGTATACACTCCCATACTGCTTATCCTTCAGCACTAACTGGTATACCAGAGACATGGACTGTGGAGAATGTTTTGAGCGGTAACAAGCTGGTCCAGTCATCAAACTCGCCCATCTCATTTTTCCACCTTCTGGGTGGTCTAAAGACAACGAAGCGTGAGGGATGGAAGAGACATGGAATTGAGTGAGTTACTTCGCCCGCGAGCTAGACGTGATAGAGGCTTATGGTATGTTAGCCCCGAGTCAGTCGCCGACCACTCTTATCGGATGGGCATGATAGCTATGTTCGCTCCTCAAGGTCTCAACCAGGTCAAGTGTATGAAAATGTGTCTTGTTCACGACATCGCTGAATCTGTTGTGGGCGATATCACCCCGTTCAGTGGAGTGTCCAGGGACGAGAAGGGCAGAAGAGAGGCTGCAACTATCGAGTACATAGCCAACCGTTGGTCTGGACCGTATACTGCCGAGATAAAGGAGCTTTGGCACGAGTTCGAGGCTGCAGAGACCCCAGAAGCTCATTTTGCCCAAGACATCGACAAGATCGAGCTTCTGCTTCAGGCAGTGGAGTACGAAAGGAACAGTGAGAACAAAAAGGACCTGGGCGAGTTTATGGGAGTTGCGCGTAAGCTACGATCTGAAGCTGGCAAGGCATGGGCGGATGAGATCCTGGCTGATAGAGAACATTTTTGGGAAGGAACGCAGCATTTGAGAGGAGAACATGCTGAGAAGGGAGGTCTCACAGAGGAGATGACAAAGGCACACGATGCATACTACGGATGATTATTGGTAACATGCCACAGATATCCAAACATTTAACCAAATTAACCAATTTTGGTGGTATCTGAACTGAGGTTCTAAACTCATCCTGGAGTGCCAGAGCAGCGCAAACACAATGTCCACCCAAGGCTGACGAAACAGAGGATGCGATTGAGGATTTCGATACTAATGTACCTATCGAGAGGATCAATCCTGCCTGATGGCAAGAGACTTCGACAACATATTTCCACCCCCTTTCTCTTCAACATTTAATTTACTATTATTTTTAAACTAGGTATCTATTATGGATGCATTGAATCACCAGTACCGCCAAGAGCTATAT